AAAAAAAAAAAAAAAAAAAAAAACGGAATATTTCCATGTTCTAGCGGTAGATTCATTCGTTTGCCCTTCATCTGCTCCCTTCGTTCGCCCGATCTTTGTCTGACCTCTTTCCCCCGATCTCCTTCCTCCCCTTCCTTCCTCAGCCCGATCACCACGTGACCTACTTCTTCCATTCCTCCCTCCGTCGTACTCCCCACCTGCCCCTTCCTCCCTCGACCGGCGGCCCTCCTTTCGTAACGCCCGTGCCTTTTCTTTACCCGGTGGACGTAAACGCTCCATTTGTTATCAAGATCGCTCCATTTCTTTTAAAGATCTCAACACGGTTGCACACGCGCAAGAAGGAGAGAGGGAAAGCAGGAGAGAGAAAAATGCATTTCACCTAACACACTTCCTCCTCTCGTTCTTCCTTCCTCGCACCTTCTTTGTCCTTGTCTCTCTCTTCCACCACCACATCTTCTGCCTCCTGAAGATATTCCTCCTCAACACTCTTCCTCGGTCTTTTCTCTTTGGAGCGGCCTTATGATTAACTGCCCTGCGGCAGGTATTTCAGGGTATCTATATTTATTTCCATATTTCTCTCTTCCTCCCCAATCCCTACACACAACACACCGACTCATCTCTCTCTCTCTCTCTCTCTCTCCATCCATCCACAACTCTCGCTGTTTGCGTCTGTGTGCAACGGCACGCACTGGAGCACACGCTCGCCCTTATTCACATTAGGAAAAAAAAATGTGACGCTAAGCCTTAATGCAACTTGAGAAAGCTAAGAAAAACGGAATGCACTCTCTATATCATCCCCAAATAAGGGAGCACGAAGCGAGGGAGGACGGAAGGCCGAGGAAGGTAACGCCACCGAAGGAAGGAGGGAGATGGCGAGGGAGGAAGAAGGAAGGAGAAAGCGAGGAAGAAGGGAGGGCTGATGGGGCAGGGGCGATGGAGGGAGGAGAGAGGGTCGAGGCAGGAATGGAGGACGGGCCGAGGGAGGGAGTATGTTGGTGCTGTACGTGCTCTACGTGCATGATCAGTGGTCTACATCATGGATCCGTGCTTTTGCATTTTTGTGCTCTGCGTGCTCTACGTGCATGATCGGTGCTCTACATCGTGGATCCGTGCTTTTGTATTTTGTTGCTCGATGTGCATGATCACTGCTCTACATCGTGGATCCGTGCTTTTGTATTCTGGTGCTCTACGTGCATGATGAGTGCTCTACATTGTGGATCCGTGCTTTTGTATTCTGGTGCTCTACGTGCATGATGAGTGCTCTACAT